CCTGTTTAGCGCTACCATTAGGTCACTAGGCTGATTTAATGAGTGTAGGGACCTTGATCGCCACAGGCTAATTTCTTTTAGATTTTTTTGAAAATCTAAATTTGTTTCTAAAATTACGAAAAACAAAAAACAAAAACAAAAAAAAAAAACCCCAAAAAATCTCAATGTATAATTTAAGATAATTGTTCACTTTTGGAAACTCTTGTCAGTTTTGAGAGACATTTAAAAAAAAACAAGATATAAAAAAATCTCAATGTATAATTTAAGATAATTGTTCACTTTTGGAAACTCTTGTCAGTTTTGAGAGACATTTAAAAAAAACAAATATAAAAAAATCTTCATTGTTTGATAAGGAGTAAAACACAGCTGGCCTGTGAAACGGTTGGCCTCAATCTTTGAGGACATCAGACCGCTGTGAGCATGACAAAACAACATGGACACAAGCGCCTTGAAAGTACTCATTTTATTATCTATTATGATTAAACACCTGAACGCTTCGTGTTTAAGACAGTTTCGCTCAAACACAAAGCTGATGACGAAATTAATTTTCATTACTTTAAACCATGTTGTGCACGTCATTGAAAATTGTGCACATGGTTATAATCGATAAGTGCTTCTACACCATTGAAAGTTGTGCCTAGAGTTACAAACGATAAGCACTTTAAAACCATTGAAACAGCATGTGGTACATGCTGTTTCATTAACTTGTTTTGTTTTGGTGTTTTTTTGCGATCAAATACATTTTAAAATGGTGACCAAAATATATTTAGAATTAACCAACAAAGACAGAGAAAACGTTTTCGTGGCATCTTTAACGCTATGGTTTGTCTCACAGTTTTGAGATTTGATTATTTTTATCTGTCTAGGGACGTTTTCGTTTTCTCAAAGTTGTTGCTTGTATGTCCAGACACCCTGACCTTAACCCATAAAGAAGAATGAAAAAAAAAAAAAAAAAAAAAAAAATTTGCAAAAATCGCAAGTGCCAATCCATTTACACCAGAGGTTCTCAACCTGTGGGTCACGACCCCTTTGGGGATCGAACTACCCTTACACGTGGGTCGCCTAAGAACATAGGATAAGACATGTTTATGAAGTAGCCACGAAAATACTGCTAAATAATTTTATGGTTTGGAGGGATCACCACAACATGAGAAACTATATTGAAGGGTCGCGGCGCGGCATTAGGAAAGTTGAGAACCACTGATTTACACGGAATTAACAATAGGCGATCAAGTCGGCGATGTCCACAACAATAAAGAAGGTTCCTCGAAAAGCCCCCCGCCTCCCCCCCCCCTACCACCCCTCCAAACCAAACTTTCATTACACCACAGTGTCTACATCCGCTCTCTCATCTTGAAGTTTCGTCAGCACATCCTGTATGGGTAATACTTATGTTTGACTAACACAAGTTCATCTATTTGGTCGATAATGGTATTGGTTGTAATGGAAATTGTATTTAAATTGATGCTGTAAAAAAAAGCTGATTTCAAATTGGTACTGTAAATAAAGCTGATTTCAAACTGGTACTGTAAATAAAGCTGATTTCAAACGGGTACTGTAAATAAAGCTGATTTCAAATTGGTACTGTAAATAAAGCTGTTTTCAAATTGAAAATGCACTTGTCATATTTATGGCAATGATAGTTCACGAATTAGAAAGAAAGAATTTAAAGTCGGGGTAAAAACTTACTTGGTAAAAATGGCACCGATAATTGTATAAATCTGAAATTATCTTCAGAACAAGTGAAAGCCTTTCTCAAGTGATGGGAACATCATACTTGTACATTGTGTTCTGTCTTGTAGGTAGGTCGTGGCTGTAGGCAAGAGGAAGATGTGGAATGAGAAGAAAAAAAGAAAGAGCGAGACAGTGATATGGAGAGAGAGAGAGAGCGAGAGAGAGAGAGGGTGGTAGAGAGAGAGAGGGAGAGATAAAAAGAAAGACAGGGAGACATTAAGTAAAGAAAGAACGAGTAAGAAAGAGAAAGACATAATATAGAGAGAGGGGTAAAGGGAGAAAGAGGGTAGAAAGAAAGAGAGAGGGAGAGTGAAAATAGAGAGGGGGAGAGATATAGTGAGAGAGTGGGGGGTGCGGAATGGGCGAGAAGAAAAAGAGCGATGTGAAGAGAGAATTAAAGAGAGAGGCAGAGAGAGAGAGAGAGAGTGAGAATGAGGGGGTGGAAGAAAGACAGAAAAGAAAGAAAGAGATTGAGAGGGAGAGAGAGCTGAAAGAAAGAGAGAGAAAGGAGAGTAAGAAATAGAGAGGGTAGAGTAGAGAGATTGAGTGCTAGGGAGAGAGTGGGAGAGAGATGCATAGAGAGATGGTGGGGGAAAAAGAGAGAGTGATAAGGAGAGAGAGAGGGGGATAAGGAGAGAGAGAGAGGGGGGAAGAAAACAAAAGGCTGAATTATAGTCAAATGCGTTCATTGGCCTTTTTTTAAATTTTTGTTCCCCAGGTGTTGGCAGAGGACAGTCGGTGAAGCAGCGTGTGTCAGTCCGGCAAGAGGAGCCGTCTGATGTCGTGTTTGCCGACACCTACTGTACGTACTTGGGGAGAGAACACCTCATGTATGACGACATCAACGAGGGACTTCAGAACTACGCTTTTCAATGCATGTAAGAAATGTAAGCTTTTCAGTGTACGTCAGAAATGTAAGATTTTCAAGGCATTTAAGAAATGTAAGCTTTTCAGTGCACGTCAGAAATGTAAGATTTTCACGGCATGTAAGAAATGTAAGCTTTTTGGTGCACGTCAGAAATGTAGGCTTTTTAGAAATGTATGTATGCATTTAAGAAATGTAAGACTTTCACTGCATGCAAGAAATGTACATGTTTCACTGCATGTAAGAAATGTAAGCGTTTCAGTGCATGTAAGAAATGTACATGTTTCAGTGCATGTGAGAAATGTACTCTTTTCAGTGCATGTAAGAAATGTAGA